GTGTGTGAGAGAGAGAGAGAGAGAGAGAGAGAGATGGAGTAGGCGGGGGAGCGGGCAGCAGAGGGAGCGCGAGCCGAAGTGGGAGTGGGCAGCCAAGAGTGTGTGTATGTGTGTGTGTGTGTGTGTGTGTGAGAGAGAGAGAGAGAGAGAGAGAGAGAGAGAGAGAGAGAGGTTGGTGTTAAGGGGGCGCGGTCGGGAGCTTTTCCTGCCCGAACCCATTCCCGCCGCAAGCCAAAAACGGAAAAAAAAGGACAAAAGAAACCGGAGGGGCTGGTAGGCCAGGCCACCTCCCGTTTTTTTCCTATTATCGAACCTGTAGGCCGTCTAACCCCCAGTTCACTGTTTTTCTTGCTGTTTCGAACTGCTCACAGCCCAATCTTGCACTGTTTTTCTCGCTGTTTCGAACTGCTCACAGCCCAATCTTGCAGCGGACTGTTATATCTGCGAATTCTGAACTGTGCAGCGGTCACAGGCGCAGTTTTTAAAAAGAATAAACACCACACAGATCAACGTAGTCACTTGTTTGTAGCGTAGCCAGCCAGGGAAAAGAGATCCTTGTCTAAGGCACCAACCAAGTAAATTCCATAAAGCAGTGGGTATGACACTACGAAGTATCTGAATCACCATGAACCTCCGTACTGTCATCGCTATCGGGCACAGGATTATCGGAGACATTATGAAGAACGACCCCACCAGGTTTCGCCATGTTCGCTCTGTATTCCCACAAAAAAGAACTCCCACCGAAAATGCGCCTTCGCTTGGGGGAGAGGGCATGGGTCCAGTTCTTTTCCAAGATGGCGCAATCTTTTTGGTCACCGTGTGCTTTTACGACATCAAACGTTTCCACAACGCCCCGTGACGGCGCCTGTCTGGTTGAGCATCTCCCTACATCTGCAGAACCGGTGGTCCGCGGTGGACCCCACTGCTTTGCGGCGAAGCTTTGGAAGACTATTTGTGAATTGTGAGACCCCACTGCTTTGCGGCAAAGCTTTCGAAAACGCTCCCCAATAACGTGGCAAGCTTCCACCAGGCAGTGGGGTCCACCTCTCCTTTTTACTTACCGTAAGAACTGTGGGATCGGACGCTTCGAGCTGCTGCCTGCTGTGCATAGAGGCCCGAACAGCGGGGCTGGAATGCGTAGCGGGTGATTCAGAGCTTGCTAGTGCAGAGTGTGTCACCTATTCGTAGCCGAGATAGGAAGAGTAGGAAGGGGTCTCTCTCTTCGGCACGCTGCCCGTGGAGAGGAGCGAGAGCACGGCTACACTTGCACGCCGACACTCACTCGAGAGGGTGGCCTTTGTAGATGTGGAGGTGGTTGTAGAGGTTGCTGTAGTATTTGAAAACGGAGACTTGAAGTTCCTCCCGCCTGCCAGTAAGGAAGAAGAAGCTAGACGTCGAAGCTGATCACAATGGTGCAACGAAGGTTCCCACCAGTCTCCTCCGTTGCCACCATGCCGTTTCTGCTGCTGCTCGCATTCCTAACGTCGGCTATCCATGGACAAGCTGCATCCCCGGAAGTGGGTACGGTCCAGATCTTGGGTTTCAAGTATGCAGGTGATGGCTGCCCGCCAGGGTCTGCGGAGGGGGAAGTATCAGATGACGGACACGCAATCACTGTGATGTTCAGCAGGTACACTGCGTCGACAGACGCTGGCTTGGACGGTCGGAGGAAGACGTGCACGGTGACGGTCAATCTGAGTTATCCGCCAGGTTTCCGCTTCCACTTGGGGACGGTCACTACGCGAGGATACGCCAAGCTGGACGCGGGCGTGACGGCGACCGCCCAGACCAGTTACTATATCGCCGGGGAACCAGGGACGGCTCGAGCCAAGCATGTCATCGACGGCCCTTTCGATGGTGACTTCGAGTTCACGGACGAGTTCACGGACGAGTTCAATGTGCTGCCGTACAGCAAGTGCAACGTCATCAGAGACCTAAACCTCAGATCCGAACTGCGGGCTGGTGCTGGACTCATCACCGGGCGCAGTGACGATCTCAGGCTGACGCAGGAGTTCTCCATCATCTGGGAGTCGTGCTAAGCTCCCGGCGGCGATCCAACATCGTCAGCTTTCGCGCTGGCCAGCGGTTTAGTTTGGCCATTATAGGCCATACTCACACCAGGGATTTCCTTGGCTGAATGTGCATGCGGTGATGGAGTCCCAGTGTGGGTACGGCCCTCGAATGGATAGTCGAAGGAATACCCGGAGGACTCAGAAGTATCCCCTCACAGGCCTGCCCGAGGAACTGCAGAGAAGAGCGTGAGCTTATTATGGGGGACCAGGAGGGGGAAAGAAGAGGTGACACTGGCTCCGTAGGATGGCCAATGGAGTCTGTGTGAAATGAGGAGGATCCGTAGTGACTATCTGTTTATATCAGGACATCTCTTCTTGTCAAAAGTCTCCGATTGCATTTGTAAGTTTTTGTATTACTGCGTAATCGTAGCTCTGTGTGTGTGTGTGTGTGTGTGTGCGTGTGCGTGCGCGCATGTGTGTGTGTGTGTGTGTGTGTGTGTGTGTGCGTGTGTGTGTGAGAGAGGGAGAGAGAGAGAGCAATTTCCATCGAAAGGATGAGCAAAATCGATCGAATCTTCAGCTAG